TTCTCCTGATATAGAAGAAACTAAGTGGAAAACCTGATTGCTGTTTAGAAACTGTGAACTCCACCTGTGGCCTCAAACTCTTTTACTTCTGTTACAGAGAAGCTGGAAGGCGAGAAACTGAACGTGGCAGAGGTGACCCAATCGGAGATCGCCCAGAAGCAGAAGCTGCAGACGGTTTTGGAGCGCATAAACGAATCGCTCAAACTGTCCACCAGGAGCATCCGCTGGAATGTCGACTGTGAGGAGCAGATGAAACATTTTTATTTATGTAAAATAAAAACAATAGAGCTGCTTAACATTTCAGGCCACCACCTTTAACTGATCTTTAAAAAGCTCGAGATGCTGATTCCTATTTTCAGCAAATACTGATATTTGCTAGAAATCATGCCTAAGTCTACCCAGAAAAGGGTAGAGTGCCTTCTCCGGGTTGGGGAGGATGTACTACCCCTAGTGGAGGAGATTAAAGATCAGATTATACTTCTGCATCCGCACACATCAAATGTTGCTTGGGTCTGCTCGCGAACCAGTTTTGCTGGTATGCTTCTGCACCATTGGTCTGGAATTTCAAGGGACGCACAGAGGTTTCCCGCCAAAGCGTGGGGGGGGAGCCTATTGGAGAACTTTTGAGAACGGCAGATGGTTAGGAGAATTTCGTTTTGGCAGAGCAATTTTTGGCAATTTGTCTGAGGCATCGTACAAGTGGTTGTACTTCCAAACATCCTCGTTTAACCTTTGGTCGTAGTTGTCAATTGTAGTTGTTCCTCGTTTTTTTAAAATGGTGCGCCCCGGCACCGAATCGAGAAGGACGACCACACAGAGAGCCGGAAAGGCATACCAAGAACCAATCACAATTCTTTTTGTCTGCGTACTTCCGCTTAAGGACTGCGCGGGTTTGCGATCCTCCAACGCATAGTCAGGATTTTTTTGAGGTGCGCGATGACGGTTGCAGATCCTCAGCGCGGGGGTGTGGTCACACACGGAGACATATTTGACGGTTGAAGAGGCCATGTGTCACAAGCATAAATTGGCCTTAAGGGTCATGTTCATGAATGAGGGGAAGATGCAGCGGAAGATCGATTGGCGGATTGGTGCGGCGTCTGCTGTCAAGCGTGCGCTATACCGGTCCGTTGTGGTAGAGAGAGCTGAGCCAACAAGCAAAGCTCTTTATTTACCGGTCGATCTACGTTCCTACACTCTTCTATGGTCATGAGCTTTGGGTCATAGGGAAGAATCAGAGTAGAGCCGCTGCCTTCCTTTACATCGAGAGGAAACATTTGAGGTGACTCAAGCATCTGGAAACATATAATAGAATTCAAGTTTATTGTCAATACATTGTGAAGTACAAAGCAACGAAGTTCCCTCTTCATCTAACCAATCCCCTTGGAGAGCAGTAGGCCACCATATGCGATGCCCCAGAGCAGCGTGGGGGTTAAGGGTCTTGCTCATGGACCCAGATTGCAGGTAGTGGGGATCGAAACGGGAACATGAAACCTTCTCAGAGCATAAGTGCACAGCTCTAACCACTAGGCCAAAACTTACCCCTCCAAATGGTTAGGATGCCTCCTGGACGCCTCCCTGGTGAGGTGTTCTGGGCACGCCTCACCTGCCGGCCTAGGAACGCCTTGGGATTCCCCCAGAGGAACTGGCCCAAGTGGCTGGGGAGAGGGACGGACATATTTTCATTATAACAGTTGATGTAAAATCAAAATTGAATATAAAAAAGAACAATATCTTTACAGTAATAGAAATTAGTTTTAACTACTTTTAAATGTTTATCAATGAAAATTTTAGATCTTTGGTAGTGGCTGACCTTCGCAGAGATGCATAAAATCAGTGGTTAAGATCAGTTTCACATCTCCAAAAATGTTGAAATTCTTTGCTGACTAATAAGCCAATAAATCAGTGCACCTTCACCCCTACTAAACGCCCCTTTTATAAATAGTATCGATTACAAACACCTGGAGCAGGTTAACCAGCGTGGGAAAGGATACACCTGGTTATTGTCATTTTCCAAACCAGGATTATTTCATGAGGCAGTTTTGTTCTGTTAGCAAAAACAATCAAATTTAACCCAACCAGTAATAAAAGATAAAATATCTTCTGTAGATGAGCAGCAGCACCATGTTGTTTTATAGTAAGCTTAACAAGAAAATAAACAAGTAAAGGTTTTGTTCCATGAAGGGACCTAGAAAGTTTCAGCTTTAGGTTTAATGCCTCGATCTTTGCTGAGGTGTTTTCATTTATTTACTCCTCGATGAAAATCAACTTTTTATTGTCCAGTTTAATCTGTTTAATCTGTAGCCTGTTGATTTCCGTTTTCTGGTATTTCACTGTTAATCATTCTCCTGTTTGCTGCTGAATAAAAAAGATACTCGGCTGATCAGTGGAAACTTGAGCGAAAAGAAAAAATGCGAAGAGAAGAAAAAAAAACTGATTTTATTTATTTTAGAGGAAGGAATTAGAAATGCGGTGAAAAAAACAAACAAGAAAACAACAGAGAAAAAGAATTGATGGAGTTATAGCAGTACAGCACATTTTTAAATGCATTGCTTTCTAAATGAGAAATACTTTGACATTCTTAGCAGTTTCTCTGCTGGAGTTGTCGTCCTTGAAAAGCTATTGTTGTGAGATGCCCTCAGAAATGCTAAGGAGCACAGTCGATAACATGGAAGGTGATTGATTTGGCTGTCCTTTTGATTTGAGGAGCTTTCTCCTAATCAATTCGGTTTTGTTTTTCCCCACCTTTCATCTCCTATTTGATGTAGTAGAAATGCCCCCGTCCTGAATTAGCCTGCGCTGATCCTTACACGCAGGGATGATGTAAAGGACGCTCACTTTGTGATGCGACAATGCTGCCGGCTTCACTCTAAAGCCTCAGACTCTTAATTGATCTTTTGGTTGGTTTCTGGATGACAAACAATATTTACTTGCCGTTTTTTTTCTTTGCAGAGAGGAGCTAATCAGGAGCTAATCATGTACTCGTTTTTTTTAAATCTCATAAACACCATGAAAACAGCACTGTAGGGAAGAAATACATGTAACCTTTCTGGTTCTTTTTCTGTTTTATTTTCTATTCCTCTATTTTAGAATAAAAAAATATTTCATATCACCCAGAAATGTCAGTTTCATACAGAAATATACTAAAGGAACACAAATTTTAAATTTCACAATTTTCAAATGATGATTTTATCTATTAAAAGTGAGATCTTGGAAAAACGGTTCCAGCAAGCAATATTTTTGAACATACACAACAATGCCTCTCCCTTCAGACCACCCCTTGAAACCACGCCTACAAAACACATGAACGAGCATGCTGTCTGCAGCGTGTCTGCGCAGCTGAAGCGGCACGTTGCTGATTTCTGAGCTGGCAGGGAGACAGGCAGCACTGCTGATGCAGAGCGCTATGATCACTCCTCTGAAACAGTTTATTAATGCCTAAATTAACTTAAAATGTCGAAATCTGCCTGCAGAGCATGTTCGCTTTTATTATCCTGGTGCCTGCAGTTTGGATTACGTACATGAAAACCTCCTTCCAGCCATGTGGACGTGACCGGGCCATAGGCTGCTGTTGAATGGGATTCCTAGTGACAGTGCATCGCCGGTGTACAGGGGTCTGACCGCTCCGACAAATAATATTTGAAGGCAGGATGGTAATCTGGATGAACTGACTGCACAGATTATGTTTTCAGGTGGACTTTCTCACTTAGATTCAAACTACTTTTTACCCACTGATCACAGCAAATATAGCTGCCATTGTTACAGGCAGAGAAAGGATAGGGTAGCTCCGACATGGATCAGACCCACATTTTCCACCGCTCATCCAGAGCAGCAGAGATGCTTCAGCTGCGCATCAGAACTAAATTTGTACAAGCATCAAAAATGAAGCAGCACACAAGTTTTTGCTGGTCTTGCTGCTTTAGGTGTGGACGTAGCATAACAGTGGCTAGCTTCCAGCGATGGCGTCCTGCACGAACATTCGGGGGTCGATTCGTTCATGTGTCAGGGTACGCGCACAGGGGGGAGGGACAAGCAGACAACCATGATTGACGGGTCATGGAACCAATCGTATACAACGGACCGTCTTTTGTGATTGGTGGACGTTACTCATTGATTTCTCACTGTAGCAGGGACCATTTATTTTAGTTTCACTTCCAGACCTTCTATTTCACTGCTTGCTAAGCGGCTGTGGGGAGATCTTTAGGCCACATGGTAAAAAATGCATCAGAAAAGATCTCCTACTGCACCTTTAAGATAGAAAAATAACCCTGAAACCCAACTAGCTCCATGTGATTAAATTACATTTATTGCATAATACCTGCCATCAAGTATATACATTAGCTGTTATCATCATCACTGCCTGTCTTCTTTATTCAGTTTTTTATTTGCCGCACTGGATGCTTCTTTAAGCACTAATGCTGCAGCATATTAAAGTCCAGACTTTGACTAGGACATTCCCGGAACATTTCTGTTTGTATTTTTCTTGTACATTAGAAATGGTTTGAAAAATACTCTGATTATTTTTGCCTGGGTTTAGAATTAGTTCTTAATTTTGAGGCTGCCGGAAACAAAATCAGTATGTAAAGAGGCAAGTACATTCTTGCCACTCTTAAACAATTTAATTGGATTTCACCCTCGGTTGAAGCAGCATAATCTCAGTGACCCCTTAGAAAAAAAAACTGACCTGAATATAAGACGATCCCCTCTTCCAGGACCAGTTTTTAGGAACAAAATTAAAAGACCAAATAAAAGAAAATAAAAGGACTGATAAACCAATTTTATTTGGTTTAAACAAACTCTTATATTGAAGTGCTTGCAATTTCATTGAAATAATATTGCATTGAAATATTTGTGCAATTAAAGAAAAAACGTAAAAATAAAAACACAGTAATGACCTTTAATTGAAATGATGCAACACGTAAACTCAAATGAAATCTGGAATTTGCTCACGGAACGTCTCAAAAACCTGCATTAGGCTTTTTCTCACAGTCGTCCTCCACCTCGCTGCGCTCGCTGTCCCTCCTACTCTCACCCTGCAGCTCTGCTATTTGTTAATAAGCTTTTCTTTTGCTGTTTGCCTATTTTAGAGGCCTTTTTTGCCATCTTTTGATATTGCACTCTGTAACTCTGTATTTATTTCCTGCCTGATAGTGGTTTGATGCCTCCGCTGCGTTGACCACCATTATCTTTAAAATTGGCGTCATAACAAATGTCTACAAATCTCTCTGGCTTTTGTAGAATTCTTGTCACTTCTTTTCTGTTGCGATAGAAATAACGCAGCCACAGGGAGGTCACTGGCTTTACAAAAAACTAGCGCCCTCTGCTGTTAGGTTTGTTTTGCGACCCCAGATAACTGTCAGCCTGTATAGTTTGTTAGACCCCGATTATAAGAAGATCCAACATTTTCCACATCCCTTTTAACGAAAAAAACCTTGTCTTATATTTGGGCCAATATAGTACTCTTTGTAATTAGGGGAAAAAACAACAAAACAATATTATGCTACATTCACACCTAAAGCAGTAGAGGCAGCAAGAGCAGCTAGATAATTTGCAAAGTGCAGTAAAACATCCCACAGCATGTTTTGAGCAGCTGAAGCAGCGCATTGTAAGCTTCTGAGCAGCTGACGCGCAGAACACGCTGCAAACATGGCTGCTGCTTGAGTTGGAAAAATGTAACTTTTGCTGCTCAAAGCACAAAATCAATCAATCAGAGAAGCTGATCTGGGAGCTGGCAGTTTGACAGACACAGTACTGCTGATGAAAATCGCCATGATCACTCCTCTGAAACAGTTTGTTAACGCCTAAATTAACTTAAAATGCCGAAATCTGACGGCAAAACGTTCGCTTTTATTATCCTCGTGCCTGCAGTTTGGATTACATACATAAAAACCGCCTTCCAGCCGCCGCGGCAAACCGCGAAGATGCGACCGGGCCGTAGGCTGCTGTTTAACGGGATTCCTGCTGACAGCGAACCGCCGGTATGTGGGGGTCTGAGCGGCTCCGACAGCGAAATAATATTTGAAGACAGGATGGTAATCTGACTGCACAGATGAAGGTTTCAGGTGGACTTTCTCACTGAAAAACATATT